CCTTTGCACCGTGATCGTTTGCGCCCTTGCGCCGTTATCGTTTGCACCGTGGTCCTTTGCGCCGTTGTCGTTTTCTATATTTATTCGATTTCTCTGCCTCATTTCTCGTTGCAAAGGTCTTTTGAAGTCCCTTTGGCCTCTCGCACTTTGTTAAAAAGCGATATATTGTAAGCTTCCATTGGCGAGCATCATGAAATGATCAACTGTGATCAAGACTCTATCCGATGCAAACGACAACGTTTGCTGCCAATAGTGTCGTTTGTGGCTGATAGTGTCCTTTACGCAACGTTGGATTGTCTAGGCAAAAGGCAAATGGCTTCGGCCATAATAGCCATCACCTTGACCTTCTGGTCATACGATATGGTTGAAGGTGCAAAGTCCATGGTGGGAAACCCGTGGAACTCACTAGCTGTGCCTACCCTACTCAACACGGCTTCGGTTGAAGGTTCCATGTCCATGGTGGGAAACACGTTTGTCCGAACAATTTGCGATGGCTTTGTAGTTACATACATCAACATGTTCCATCAAGCTTAGCGCACAACATTCTCACAAGCAAACCAACTTAGTGCACAACAGTCTCACACGCCAACAGGCTTTCTCAAAGTCAAACAAACTTAGTGCACAACAGTCTCACACTCCAACAGGCTTTCTCAAAGTCAAACAGACGTAGCGCACACCAGTCTCACTCTCCAACACTGTTTCGTGCCATTGGAGCAGCCTGTCATTAGGCACAAAGAGAAGCAGCACCAAGCTCAGAGGGTTGCTCTGGATCATCCTGACTAGCCTGACTAGGTTTCTTCTTTAATTTGCGTCGTTTCCTTTTCGGCGACGCAGCTACACAGCCTTCACCTTTGCTCTTCTTTTCAATCTTCTTTTCAGCAGGCGGCGAGTGCTGGAGCGCCGCGAAAACATACCGGAGGTTCGCCTCTGTCAGCTCGACATGAACCTCTTTGGCTTTTACACTCCAAAGCATCCTGCACTCCAGCGGCCCAAAGACTTCGTTGTCGTGCTCAAACTCCGGCAGAGACACTACAACATCTCGGCTGACGATGAACTTGTCATCTTCCCTGGCCGGTCGAAGCTTTGGTTGGGGCTCCCCTTCCTGCACGCCGGAGAGGATATGCTTGCGCAAGAGGGCTGTGCAGGCATCATGTCCTAACGTCCAACTAGGTTTCCAAACTATTCCAAACTATGTGTGTTCCATATAAGTTGGTGTCAAAACACTGCATGTTGCAACATCCTTTCAAAGATGGGTGAAAAAAGGTGCTGAAACAAACAATGAAGGTCTCAATTGTCTAGTAGCCGCCCACCATTGGACATCCAATCCCCATGCTCTTCTTTTGGCATGTCTGTTCATGCCTTTGCCAGTGATGACCTTGACCAATTGGGGATCAAATCGCGAAAGGCTGGCATAGGTTTTGCCCTCAAACTCATGGGTTTCTGGAAACCACCTGAGCTTACCCAAGCTAACTCGGGTCACACGGTCGATGGACAGCTGGACTGGGCCTTCATCATCATCATCCCTGGCGTCCTGTAAGTCAGACTCATCCATGACACTGCAGCCAGTGGCCTAGGAGTGACTCCCTGCAGGCAAGCAAGCCTACAAACGGCCACTGCAGTCTGTGGCAAGGAATAACTCCAATAGGCGCGCAAGCCTATCTACAAATGGCCACTGCAGCCAGTGGCCAGGAGTAACTCCCTATACAGGCACAAACGGCTACGGCAGCCAGTGGGCATGGACTGACTCCTATATATACAAGGCAACGACAAACTGGAAAACTGTTGAAGCCACGTTGTTGGACGCGCCCAGTACACTATGTTTTTGTCGTGTGTTGCTCTCCTGCAGTTCATCATGCCAGCCCATATATATACTGTGTATATCCATGTTCTCCGTGCCAGGAGCATTACGAAATATACATGTTTCAATATTCTAATTTGCCAGGAGCAACTCCGTCACACAGTTCGAAGGTTGAAACGATACACAATAAGAAAGGTGTGATGCATGTGGTCTCGAGCTGGCACTACCCTGCATTCAGCTTCAAAGTGCGTGGCTGGGCCACGGATCGTACTGAGAAGTTCACACGGAGGGGCGCCTGCAGGGACTAAAACCACCAAAGTTTCATTCCTTTCAGGTACCGGGAGCAACTCCCACAGATAGCGTCGAGGAATGAAACAGAAAGACAAGATAAGCGTAAACATGTCTGAACATGTCTGAGCTGTATGATGAGTCCCCTGTGCGGCGCCCCCCTCAGTGGCGAATTCTTTTCGCGGGTCGATCTCTCAGTGGTTCCTCATCTACAGTCAGGATCTTTTTGGCCGCGTAGACGAAGAGCTCATCGCCATTCTTCAATGACGTCATGTTGCGGAGCTGTGGCAGCCAACGTCCGCTTCTTCATGTCATCGACGCTCGGCCAGACCTGTTGGGTTTGTAATTGCATGGACTATAGGTTCACCTCGTGGTTCCATCACATTTCTTGGCTCAAGAGTATATGGAAATGTATTGAACATGATCGTAAATCACTCTAGTGATAGTGGTATCGTTTGATTGCGGTTTGTTTATAACTATTACCTGTTAATGTATACCAATGCCATATATGCGTAAATTCCAGATCAAAGGTTCACGACTTCAAACCTGCTCGCCTCCATGTTCGCATCATCTGATTCGGAAGTGCGGGGAATGAACCAAAAGGGACATTGGAATCCCTCACCAGGAAGCTTGCCTACTTTGTTCATGCCTGTGAGCACCACTGACATATGGTCAAAAATGCCGATCACCAAATGGTCATCCGTCACCTTCGTGGCTTCTATGAACTGTACGCGGGAGGTGACGCATGGGATCACAAGCTTCTTCTAGCAGAAGGTGCTGGTGACCGTGACAGCCTTGGGATGAGCCCACAATTTGAGAGTCTCAAAGTTCTTATGCTTTTCCATTTGCTCCGCCATTGCACGGCAGACTGCCGCCTTCATCGCCATCAGCCTGAACTCAGCGCATCTCAGCGGCGAATCTGGCAGCCAATGGACCTCCTCTTGTGGCTTGGGGACATGAGCGATCTTCCACTCATTCTGCACGAACGATGACGAGTTCACCCAGACGTTCGTCTTGGTGGGCTCTTCCATCCGCAGCTCAACTTCACCTTCACTGATGCTGCGAATGATGCCCACTTGGTCATGCCTTTCTACCTTCTGACCGACGGCAAAACCAAGCCCCTTGATCACTTCTACGGCGTTGGTCATGCGCCCTGAGTCATCATAGGTTCTAAAAACTTCAGCTTTCTTCGCTGCAGTGCTGGGGGTCGCGGTTGTGGCATCCTTCGCGACCCATTCGCTTGGGATGGTGATCCCCAGCCCCAACTCCACCAACACCTCACGGCACGCATCCTCCATCTTCACATGAGCCCTGCTCTTCTTGTCCAAAATGACAGCCACGAGATGCACCTCCAGGTGGCCCACTGCATGCTGAAGTGTTAAAGGCCCTGCGCCGGCTGCCAACGAAGTGAACTGGTCCACCATAGCGATCGCCGTTGCTGCTCGGCTCAGGCACCCTTTGCTGCTCATGGCCTTCTTTGCCTTAGGCAAGCATAGTTGAAACATATACGTATATTATAATATATAGTCGTTCACTGCCACTGTGTGTGTGAAACACCTCACCTATCATTATAACTATATATTCATCAACGTTATCACCATCATCAGCGTCATCATAGCTGTTCTGCACTGATCTTACCTGAACGTTTATCTGTTATTTTTGTTTCAATCCTCGACCTGTCTGCCGAAAGGAGTTATACCCCTGGCAGCTCATCCTGGAATCCATCGCAAAGAAAGAAGACGAGTGGCAGTTGCTGCAAAAACCACTGCCATTATCCAGAACAAAACGAAGCTTGGTGAGACGGTGACGTGTTTTGAAGGGTCGACCGAAGTGCGCACCAATCAAGTGGTCCCTCGAGCTGTGGCGTCATTTTACGATTTGGAGACTACAGGCTGTAGCAGGTATAGAGTTGATAATCTTCGGACGAACTTCCACCATGGTGCTTGCGTCCGGAATGGCAGCCCATCCTGCTTTGAATGCATAAATGGAACACATGTATATTCACTTTGGCAGCCCATCTCAGCTGGACATCATGGTCACAACTGCATGCAGTCTGTGTAAAAGCAGCGACCGAGGTGTCTTCAACGAAGTGGGGTCTAGCGTAGCAGTGTCGTCGCAGTCGTTCAACAGCCAGGAGAGACTCCTATCAGCTGTTGTTACAAAAGCTGCCACTGCCGATTGGCTGTTGATCGACTGATCGAAGCACTGGTATATATATATATAGTGTCAGA